CCATCCGTACATCCAAGCTTAGTGTACCTATTATTCACAAGTGGTCACCCATTTAGCTACTGAACAGGATCGACGTTTCCTAACTTCGGTGATCATATAAGATCCGGTGTCTTAATGTGTTCTGGCCGCAAGCCAGCACATGTAACTCAAAGGGAAAATAATGACATAAGAAAGATATTGATATTCCATTCTACTTCGAACGAAATCATTTTCCTGAAAAATTGTTTCACTAGAAAGGTTTTGTAGATGCCAGCCGACAGCAATACTGGCCCCTGCTCCATAAAAATCGGACATTAAACAACCCAAAAAATCTGATATCTCGTAGAATCAACCATTCTAAGGTTTGTGTTATTTTTTTAATTGAATATACCCCAAGCCAAGCAGTAAGGCTAAAAGAAAACATTATAAATGAGCGAGAATAATAGAAGAGTAATCAGGAAAACAGATAACGATTGACATTACATTTAAATTTTTGAACATCAAAGTTGTCCGGAAAGCAAGAAGCCGGAACAGAGTTCTACAAACGGGAGTGGCGACAGAAAAAACTTTCAGTAGAGAACGTACGGTTATATCTATCCAATTCAACTGTGAATTGAGGGGATTTGCTACCAATTAAGTACTGCGCTTAAATTCATAAAAAAAAAAAAAAATATAGGTACCATAACAAATAGCTCATCTGAACATTTACCATGAAATTATTTATATAAAAGGCGCAGGTATACAACGTTATAGTGGTGCGAAATTTACTGAAGCCGAGACGCTAGGTTAGAAACAATAAGATTGCTTCTCCTTCTGTGGATTTTATCAACAATCTCTAAATAAATAGCAGGGACACTGGAATATATGTGGAAGCAATATTTTAAGCATGGGCGAATGGTAGACTTATAGATATGCAGGATAGAATTTGGAGATAAAAATTGTCTATCACGTCTCAGTGAATCTAATTTCTTAACAGGTAACCTAGCACTGGATTCAATGTAGTCTTTCCACTTCATGTCAGCCAAGAAGATGCAATGAGACACTCTCCTGGAAGTTAGCATCAGCCATACTGATGGAAGACAGAAAAGGTTTTCTTAGTTGACTAACACAGAGCCGTTTAGAGTTAGAAGTGTTACTATTAACACGCCATTCTTTGCCACAGTTAAAAAAAAAATGTAGATTGATTTTTAGATCAGCCATTTGATAGTTAAGATAGTTTGCTTCCGCGATCACTACAATCTTAATATCTTTAAATCTAGGTTTTTAGTAATTGTTGAAACTTGACTAATGCATGGAATAATAATACAACACAAAATGTATTGAAACAAGAAAGGTACACAATATTTACATATAGTCTTTTGTATATTCTTGGGAAGACCGTTCCTGGAGAATGTGTTGACTTAGTCGCAGTCGGGCAGAGTCTCTGGATTGAATCTCTTGATTCCTCCCCTCGTCTTCCCGGTATCAACCATATTTATATGGTCGGTACTCCACTATGCAAATTAGGTGGATCCTACCACAGCAGTAATCTTTTCTAAATATCCTCATTGCACTTCTTACTTCCTCCTCTTAAGCTCCATACAACAAGCTGATTCAGTGTTCCTCTACATTGAGTGGCTCTTAACCTCTTCAAGTCTAATGTTGACCGTTATCTTACCTATATGGCCTCATCAGGTATTTGGGAAGACATACTTATTTTATTTCGCTTGCCTTGGAACAGTTTCACAATCAAGGCAGATATAACCTCGGTTGATTGTAAAATCTTCGTGGCCGAGAAGCCAAAATACAACAGCTTAATCGGCGGTTTCATAGGTTCGAATCCTGCCGGTGAAGGGTCGTATTTTTCTTAATTAATTCATGAGTGTGCAGGCCAGTAGGCGATAGAAAATACTGTTTAAAATAAACGATGTGTCTACTTAAATACGGGTATCCACTAAAATAACTTTAAATTATATATATATATATATATATATATATATATATATATATAGAGAGAGAGAGAGAGAGAGAGAGAGAGATATATTAGTGGTAAATATACACATACATAAGTATATACACATAGGTATATATATATATATATATATATATATATATATATATATATATAATAATCGACTCTCCCGTCGAGGTTCGACGTATGAGGGTCAAGCAGATCAGTTTCCAGAAACCGACAGCCCGACACCGGCACATGATATATATATATATATATATATATATATATATATATATATATATATATAGTGTATTTAGGCAGAAATCCCTCTTTTATACATGTTTCGTTAAAGACGACAGAAAAGATACAACGATTAAGCTTTTTATTTAATTTTTCTTTGTGGATGAATGTGTAGAAACTGTTCAAATGTTCTGTAATTCCGAGCGCTTTCGGCTATAATTTTAGCCATTATCAAGGATGATTTTATTTTTACTTTTTACCTGGATGCATGAGTTGTATGTATGTATCTAGAGTTATAACTATGTTTTATTTTCCGAACACATTACATTGTGGCTGTGTCCGTACTCAATATTATTGAGTTTTGGCTTTTTCTTACATAATATTAAGGTATACATTATTTTTAATCTTTTCTTTT